TGAGTAGTGGATATGAGAATTGTCTCAATCCAACAGCTGGCCGTGGCCATGTTCGGGTCCCCTCGGGCTCTGCTCCTCCCACGTTATTGAACTTTTTTCTTTTTTTTTTCTAGTAAAAATTCCTTTCTTCGTGGACTTGAAGAATCCCGGAGAACTCTTGAACCACACCGCAAATTTTTACTTGACGTCCGAAGAAGAGGTGAACATCGGAGTCTGGTGAGTGGTCGGACTGAAAGTTTAGAAGGGGTAGCTCTCTGCACCAGGGTTCCCCTCCATCTCACAGTGCTGTCAGTCTAACATTGTAAACATGCTTACAGGGAGGTAGAGCACAGGTATGACCTTATAAGTAGGGATGCACCGATACTGTTTTTTTGGTATTGAGTACGAGTACTGATATTTTGTTTTCCGGTATTTACCAATACCAAATACCGATACCGGAAGTCCCATTAAGGAAGCTGAATGGTGTGTAATGACTCGTCACCCGGCTTCCTGATCAGCCATCGAGTCAGCTTTCTGGCCAATCAGAAAGCCGGGAGGTGGGTCATCCTATACTGCGTATAGGATGTAATGACTCAGGGACCTTAGACCGCTGCAATGGAGGGGAGCGGGGCTGGAAGGATTGACCTAAGAACAAGGCGGCTCGGAGGTTCAGGTAAGTATAACCTTTTTATTTTAGTACCTGAATGAGCAGTTAACCCTTGCAGTGCAGGGTAGCCCCACTGCAAGGGTTAATAATCATTTTGAGTTCATCTTTAAAATGAAACAAGGCAGCCAAACTTTACTGATCAATCCAAGTAGAAAAACAGTACAGATTGTCCTGGAGAAGTCTCAAAATATAACCCGACAGTCTAAGAATTCCTGTGTCCCTTGAAAGGACAATAAAGAAATCATTATTATACAGGATTTATATAGCGGTTTGCGCAGCGCTTTACAATGTAATAAAGAAATCTAAGAAATGACTCTTTGATTGTTAGGCCCCATTCACACTTCTAAGAGTCGGCCCGTACAGATCTGTGCTGCGTGCACGGCCGTATCGGGCCGCTCCCGGGAAGTACAGGTGCCTCGCCTGATTGCATGCAGCAGCCTGTTCTTCTCTATGGTAGTATGTGGCCGTACGCTGCCCTACGCTCACCCAAACTGGACGTCCGTGCGGGTTGCAGGTGTCCCTGCTCGGACGCAGACAGGATCCATCCTGTCTGGGTACGAGTACGGACACACGCACCCACACAGACTTGCAGTTCAGATGAGCATACGGCCGGGTCCTCCCATGGAGAAGAACAGGCTGCTGCGTACAATCACATACAGCACCTGTCCTTCCCGGGAGTAGCCCGATACGCCTGTGCATGCAGCACAGATCTGTACGGGCCGACTCTTAGAAGTGTGAATGAGGCCTTACTGTTGCAGGATTTGTCTCTGTATATTTCTCTGACTTGTCTCGTAGAACTGATTGGGAATCCTCGTAATTTTACTGGCGGAGGAATCGGGTTGAGTCAATTGTCTTCAAACAATGAAATTCTTTTCTATGAATCTATTTCCAGGAAACAAATATTTGTATCATTATAAGACATCATCTTGATGGGGGTTAATTAGCAGGACTCGGTTTCTGAGCACTACGGGTGTCTTCATGGACGATTTCCCTTAATGATATTTTCTTTTATTGCGGTGGGTTTATCGCGATGAGGAAGAGGAGACGCACGTCTGTTGTACTCATCTGATGCATATTAATCACGAAGATTTGTTCTCCTAGGCATACCGTGCCTGCCAGCAGGGGGGAAGAGGCGAGAGGGAAGGACCGCCGCTGGTTTGAAGACTCTCTCGCAGATGACAACCCAATTATCATTTATCTCCATGGCAATGGGGGAACCAGGTGATTACAGGCTGATCTGGCATAACCGGAGACCGCCATCGCTGTATTACTTGTTTTTCACATATAGTGCCGCGGTCTGGGTTGGAGTTTTAACGGAGAGTTCAGGTCTGTGCATTCTGTCCTTTATATTCGCCTTTTATCAATGAGACCAGGTTCATCTCCATCAGAGGTGCTTGTGAAAGGTGGACATTTATGAGACAGGACAAAGCATTGTCACCCTATAACAGGAAGTGCCTGAACAGGAATCTTATTTTAATGAAAGCTGCAGATTCCAAAAAAGATAAAAAAATGACTCCCCCCCCCCTGGAGGAAATTTTCTGTCTGTTTTTTATTTCCATGTGAAGATTTTCCCTCACCTCCTGTTGCCGTGACACGCATAGAAATGGATGGGGTGGGTATCAATGAAACAGGAAGGCAACAACATCAATTAAAAACATAGTTCCCCTTTAAGGAGAACTATGAGGTGAGTGATTTCCACTCATCCTCATAGTTAGAGCCGACCTGTGACAAAGATGCTATCACAAGTCGGCTCTATAGATCGGGAAGTGAGCAGAAACATGCAGTCGATCCGCTCACTTCCCGATCGTCTCCTTGCAGTGAGCAGTGACTGTCAGTCATCGCTGCCCGCAGGGATTCCCCCCTCTCCTCTCCGATCCTCCAGGCCTGAGTGGAGGAACGGAGAGGGAGGGGGCGGGCACAGCTGGCTCTGCCTCTAGATTGGCAGAGCCCGCTATCCTTCATGCAACTGGGTGAATCCATTGAGTATTGTCAGGATCTGTCCCGGTTGCAGCGCTCTCAGTGTAAAGCGGGCAACAGCTCGCTACATACTGAGCTTTGGGTCACGGGAGGAGGTTAGTATATGTTCTCCCGTGACCCTAAAGAGAACTATGAGGAAAAGCACTTACCCCATAGTACTCTGTTAAATAAATTTCCACTTATTCTAGAATGTATCTTTCATGTTCTTAGGTGTGTCATGTGACCGTACCTTTAATGTAACTTAGATCAAATGTGTAAAATTTAAAGTTTCATTTTTCATATGCGCACAGACCTCATCTTCTTTTTTTCTATCTTCCTCCAGGGCCGTGGATCACAGAGTACAACTGATGAAGGTGAATACAGGTTTATTGAAAATCAGAAAAACCTATAAAATAAATGAATGATCAGAGATTAATAAATTTCCCTTTGTTACAATGATATTTGTCATCCTGACTTGTGGTGGAATCTCTCGCAGGTTCTCAGTAAAGCCGGCTTCCATGTCTTGGCGCTCGACTACAGAGGTCTGTGACCCCCCCAAAACCCCATTTGTGTCCGGGTGATTATATCTGTGTGTCCTCACTGTTCCTGTTATTTTTTATAGGTTTTGCTGACTCCACCGGTGAGCCGAGCGAGGCCGGAGTGACCCAAGATTCCGTTTTTTTATATGAATGGGTGAAAGCCCGCAGCCATGGAAATCCGGTCTGCCTCTGGGGGCATTCTCTGGGTACCGGGTAGGTTCTGGGTACGGGGCTGATGTTTCATTGTATTAATGAGCTTCATCCTTTGTCTGGAAGCATAAAGGGTAAATATATTACTCATTAGCCACAAAATATTATAAATAATAGTAATAATAATAAAGTGCGTTATGAAAAGTCAGCCAGATTTCAGATCACACGAGAAAATAACTTTTTTACTTGATCAAACAGCAGTTTCACATTAAAGAGAACCTGTCATGCAAGTCAAGCTTTAAGCCCTCATTCATGCAGGGCTGTAACGAGCAGCTGCCGGGAAGGACAGGTGCTGCGTGTGATTAGTGTGCAGCCCCCGTCCTTCTCTATGGGACTACGCGGCCGTATGCCCCCCTACGCTCACCTCAAGTGCAGGTACGTATGGGTGCGTGTTTCCTGGCTCGGACGCAGACAGGATCCATCCTGTCCACTTACGAGTACGCTCACCCGCACGGACGTGCAGGGCGGGCGGGCGAGCATAGGGGGGTGTACGGCCGCGTAGTCCCATAGAGAAGGACGGGGGCTGCTTACTAATCAAACGCAGCACCTGTCCTTCCCGAGAGCTGCTCGGTACGGCCCTGCACGCAGCACGGAGCTGTACGTGAGGGCCGATTCCTGTGTGAAAGAGGGCTAAAAAAGTAAAGGATATACAAGCCCAGGAGATCCAAAATGTGCAGTACTGCAATAGTGTGCATTGAGGTGCAAAAAAAAGAAATAGCATATGCAATTGTTTTCACCGCAGAGCACCACAGTGTATGCTATTGCATACTGTGGATTGTGCGGTACTGTGCATTGTAATGCACCACAACACCCACTGGGAGTTGCCTTGGTGTGCTATTTAGAATGAAGTGCAACACAGCGCATCTAGTGTGCAATGCATTGTTTCGGGCAATAGCATGCACTGAACGCATGGAAACCGTGCCATTAGTGCAATGATATAGTGTGAACCGGCCCATAAGGATAGACTTCCCCACTTTATTGCACAGGCAACCCACAATACTCCCATCCAATGAGATTTCCTTTATTAGCCAATGAAGTACTGTGATTGGACAGGAAGATAGTAAGCGGAACCTAGCTTTAGAGGGTGGGGCATAGCCCTAGAGTCTCTGAAGTTCAGCTAAAGTGAAACCAGGTTCAGAGGGGCACAAAGAAGAAGCTTTTCTCTCTAAACGAGGCATAGGCAGCCTCAGCATTCCAGCTGTTGTGGAACTACAAGTCCCAGGAGGCATTGCAAGGCTCTGAGCCATAGGCATGACTCTCAGAGGCAGAGGGATGATGGGAATTGCTCTGGTGTGCCAAGGTTGCCTACCTCTGGTGTAGGTAATCACTGACACATTGTGCTAATTCCATTGACACGGGACTTTTACTTTTAAATATTAAAATGTCTTTGCTTTACTAACCTGTCACTTCTAAAAATGATTGAAGTTCACAATTGCAGCTTCAAAATGAATCATATATACCGATATACATTCAGCAGAATGTGTTATCTCTAATAATCTCATTAGTTATAATGAGGTTCAAGCTGGGATTGTAAATTAAAAACTCCCCTTCGTTCTTTATAATGGGCCGTCGTATCACCATATGTCATAGGAATGTTGGATCCATTTTGTGAACTTTGCCATTGCTGTTAATGATTTGTCCTCATGAAGGGAATCCAGCTGACGCGGTGATCCTGGAGGCCCCGTATACCAACATCCGGGATGCTGGAGCTTATCACCCTTTCGGAAAGGTCTGTGACAGATGCATAAAACTACAAAATAAAACTAAAGCCAAAAGTATGTGGCATCCGTCCAAATAATTGAGTTCAGGTGTCTCCGGTGAAGGGGGTTGTTAATCCTATCTCATAAAAAGACATTGTAGAGAGTTGTGCTCCTCCAACCTTGTGGTAACAGCTTGGTCCTTTTCTGTTCCACCATGACTGTCCCCTGTGTATAAAGCCAGCTCTATAAAGACATGGTTTGATGAGTATGGTGTGGGGGAACAAGAGTCTCCTACAAAGAGCCCTGACTTCAACCCTACTGAACACCTTTTGGATGAATTGGCATGGTGATTGCCAACTAGGTCTTCTCATCCAAAATCTGTAGTTGACCTCACTGCTTGTGGAAAGCCTTCCCAGAAGAGCAGAGGCTGGTATAGACATAAAGGTTAAGTTGGGGACTCCATATTAATGCCCTTGGTTCAGGAATGAGATGTCCAACAAGATCATATAGGTGTAATTGTCATGTGTCTACAAACTTGCAGCCATATATTGTACTGTTTCCATATTAACCCTGTGTATGACTTGAGCCAAGCGACTGTATATTGGCACTGGCATCTTGGAAGTGTATGCCAGGGTCAGAACCTCCTGCCAAGAGTGTACTTTTACTGTCAGTGTTAGTGGGATGGAAAGCAGAGTGTGCATATGTAATGGGGCAGCACAGTGGCTTAGTGGTTAGCACCTTTGGATTACATTCTATCCAAAACGAAATATAACATTTGTCCAAAAGCTAGGAATTAACACACTTAGAGGATCATTTATAAATCATCCGCCCAGCTATACACATGGCATTTTCAGCACTAGATGGATTTATAATTCATCCCCCCAGATTAGAAAAATAACCTTATATACTGGTTTTAGAGCTGAATTCCTGCCCTAGTTTTGCTCTTTACACCATTATTTGCCTTTTCTACTATTATTTGCTGCCACTTTCAGTTTTAGAAGGCTCCGGTCACTTGGTGGTGGCCGTGTTGTGGTGTCCTGCTGGGGATATTTCATGGACTTTCCAGCATGTGATAACTCTGAGATTTTTTTTTTCTCTGACAGATCTACCACATTTACCCCGGATTTGAATACTTTTTCTTGGACACCTTTGCACTGAGCAATCAAGTGTTTCCCAATGATGAAAAGTAAGTTTATCTTGGTTTTGTTTGTTTTTTATAGAAACCTAAACTGGAGCCCATCTTCTTCAATAAGATGGTGTCCACAATCTTGTTAACAACGTCATCAGAACAATAATTCTAGGAGAGAATAGGAATGGTCAGCTGATTGTTTTATTGTGTAACTAGCCAGAAATATAACGGACTTCCCTTTTTTAATGTTCACTGTCACGCAGTGTTAAAAAGATGACCAGCCCACTCATGATCCTGCACGCAGAAGACGACAATGTAGTTCCCGTGTCAATGGGAAAGGAGGTGAGTTTATTAGGACGTTCCTATACATCCTATAATCCTGATTTCCAGTTAGGCCTTCAGCTTTTGTTGTTAATGATTTTGGGTTTTAACATTTTTTTTTCAGCTCCATGAAATAGCCATAAACTCACGTCATCCCAGGGATGTGATCCTGATATTGTACCCCGCCATGCTTGGCTACAAACACAAATTTATTTATAAAGACCCCAAACTGCCAGAGAAGCTTTGGTGAGTACATTGTGTCTAAATCTGTCACATTGATCACTCTGCAGCTCATGTATTAGGCTAGGTTCACACCTAGGCGTATCGAATATGCGCGTTTCGTGCCATACGTTTTTACCGCGATTCGCAGTAAAAAAAACGCACGCCAAAATTGCATGTCCAAGGGCTACCTGGCTGTATCCCAATGGATACACGTGACAAATACGCCCCAAAGAAGCACCTGTACTTCTTTGGTCGTAGGGCGTTTTGCAGCACGTTCCTAGGCGCTGTAAAACGCCCAGGTGGGAACCATGCCCATAGGCAATCATTGGCTTTCACATGTGGGGCGTTTTACAGAGCGTAGGAACGCGCTGTACAACGCCCAGGTGTTAACCAGGCCGTAGGCTTTGTTTTTACACATTTCTATTTCCTTTGTGGATTATGGACGACCTTAAAGCGGTTTTGCATTTCCATGGATGCAACCAGTACTCTATAGATCTATTTGTGACCCTAAAACTTTGCTTAGGCCCAAGAAGTAGGCCAAACTTGCACAACTGGTGAAATATATGCATTTGACTGCAAAAGGCAGCATTCATTAACCATCTCCCTGGACCATACGACTTTATCATGTCCTTCGGAGGTCCCACTGGGTCTGTTCTGACCAAACATGGCTTACGACTACAATTCATGTATTGGTGGTCCCAGTATGTTTGCTTTGACCATCACCCTTGGTGACCACACTGGGACTGGGTTTTTTTTTTTTTTTTACCCTTGATGGCCCTACTGGGTCTGTTTTGGCCAAACATGGCTCTACAATGATGGCCAATTTGTACAGTCTGACAAAAAAAAAACTACAGCCTGTGCTGGTCATGTGATCTTGGCTAAAAGGCAGGACCACGAGTCTGATTGCTTCCACAAACAATCAGTCAAAGTCTGTTACTTTCATAGGCCCATAGCAAAAGAAAGGTGAATGCCCAGGCAGCTATAGAAGATACAAATAGTGCATCTCTGTATACAATATTGAATCCTTTTCTTTTAAATACAATTAGTGCAAGCTCCTTAATTTGAATTTGCATTGGTCTTATAAAATCCACTGTGCAGCAGCAATCGTACTGGGAAGCGAAGTGGCAGGACTGATCTTTGAATGCAGCATGACTGGCAATTACAATATGTTGAAGGAACCTTCTAATAGGAGGAAAGAGCAGAGCGACTAACTCCACTCATCTGTTTCTAAGATTAAGCCATTTCGGTGGAACCCATCAGTGCCTGTGGCTCTTGTTCTGCTTGTAACATCGTAGATTCCTGGGAATAAACTTTTTACATCCAGGTCCTGGCAATGAGTGCAGCTTTACATACATTGGCAAACATGTATAGATGTTACCAGCACACCAAAAATCCTTTCAGGATCACAAAAGGTTCATTTATTGAAGATCCTCGTCATAAAACAAGCACTTTCTGGGCCGCAGAGGGTCCCTTCTTCAGGCTTTTTGATGTGCTGGTGATATCTATACATGTTTGCTGATGCTGGTGGCACCATCCGCAGTCACTGCAAGCACCCCACATTACATTGGATATTCGTTAAGAAGTGCAACAAGTAAAATTGAACATTTTACATACATTGGTTCACCCATATTCTGCTATTCCTTCACTGTCCAGTGTGCGTTTCATTCTAGCGCAGATTGAAGTATGAACTCTAAGCCAGTGCATAGATACAGTGGCGACACAATACTCCTGGTATGAAAGTAATATTTTGTTGATATTCTCTCCCAGGGCTTTTCTGAACAACATCTGAAGCTGTAACATGCTGGGATGCCATGAACAAAGAGGGATATACGTTGTTACTTTTTTTTTTTCACCTATATTGCTTAGACTTATGTCCAGGAATAAAATGTGATGCTTTGTATCCTTGTGGAATTACTTCTGGATAGGTTACTACTGACAATACATTCAGTGCATCCCCTGGAGCCACCTGTATACTGTATATTCCAGGGCAGCAAAAACGTGTTCTTTGGAGACAGTTGATCTGAACAGGAAACAAAACGATCAGCAGTACACAAGGAAACTCACTGAACCATGTTCTCTAGCTCCAATCCATAGATTTATGCCTGGCAGTAAATAAACCAAAATAAGATTATTGTTCAGCATCATTACTCAATGTGTTTAGGCAGTGTGATTTGTAGCAGAAAAGCAACATGAGGACAGGGCATCTATAAGCCAACACCAGATGTTCTTAAACAATTCCCAACATTCTGCCAATCTGAATATTCACGTGTGAAAAGATCTTGTTGGATAGGTCTTTATATAGATTCTTCCTGAGCTTCCAGCCGCCATGTCTAGTATTCAGGTGTATGAAACCGAAGTGGTGAACACTAGTGCTACCCAAGACCCACTAGATATACTCTTTATTGGCTTCCCATCAAAATAAATGTACATTACCATTCAGTAAAGCATGGCCATGCAAAAAAGCACAAATTGTAGTTAGATACTCCCAATCACTGCTCTTTGAACTGAAGAGAAAGCCCAAAGAACCTGATTTGTGTAAACTATTAGTCCTAGTAATCCACAATGTACTGGAAATTAGGAATGCACCGATAGTGGTGCCAATACTTGGCATTTTCACGAGTACCTATGAAAATGCCCCGATACTAAAAAAGGCAGATACCAGTGCTCTAGATTTTGAAATGGAAGCAGCTGCCCGAGGTCCTGCACTTGCTGGGGACCCCGGCAGCCTTCCGATGAACCATGGCGCCAGTTTACAAACATGGCCGCACATCTCGTTCCTTGGGAACCACGCTGCACTGCTAACATCACTTCTGCCGCCCACAAGACCCCACAAAGCCAATTTGTACCTCTACGACCGGTATTCTGTCTTGGAAAAAAAAAAAAAATAGTATCTGTGCATTCCCACTGGAGATGAAGAAAGGCACACCTGAGTCCAGCCTTAGTGGAACCAGGGCTTCTTTCATAGATAGTGGAGAAGTGAGCCTAGCCACCCAGGGACAGAAGTGTGTAATTCCCAGGATTAAAACAAAAAGATAAGTTACTCAGCCATCACTAGCTAAACATTTTTGGGTTTAGATATGCTAGAAAGGAAACGCTGAGGATTTTGCTCCGGGCATCTATTCTTCATAGCCCTCGGATCATGAAAGGATCACATTCAATAATCTCAACCACACACCATCAATATGTATAAACACTTTTTAATGTCTGGGGAAGATCAGTAAACATTTTCCAGATATGAGCACAGAATAGATGTGAAAGGCATTTTGTTCAGAAGAGGATACATGAGCAGAACTAGTTGACAGAAACAGGTAACCATTAATCAGAAAGAAAAACTGATTTGATGCATAAAATCTGTATAAACCTTCTACATTGGCATGTGTACAGTGCAAAAAGAATGTGTTCAGCAAAAGGGATACAGAAGCAAGTTCTCCCCACTTGAGATCCCAAGTTTGACACCAAGAGCTTTGTAGGCAAAGAGCAATGTGCAGAGTCCAGTAACCCATAGCAAGCCTTTGAATTTTGCTGGATCTAGTTCAGTGAACTCAAACCAGCCTGGCTGCCATGTGTTCCTGTACCCCGCTCCATTATTTTATCATCCCATTGGTGGCAATTTGTTAACTGTGGTTTGCGCCCTTCTTGCCGTTGACCCAGGAGATCCTGGTTAAGCCTTTGCCTTTGCAGCAGGTGCAGCAGCTTTGACATCCTCAACAGCATCTCGGGGTTCGTTAGGTGGTGGGATCTTCATGTCCGAGGGCTCTACCCCCCAGATGTCCCGGGCATACTCCTTGATGGTTCTGTCACTGGAGAATTTTCCAGATGCTGCAATGTTCTTGATGACCACTTTGGTCCACTCTTTTGGATTCTAAGAGCAAAGAAAATAGTAAGCGTAACAAAAACATACAATGTAACATTGAACCTTCAGTCTAAGAAAGCATGGCATTTATTAGCTTCTGATTGCCTGAATTAAATGTATAGGGAACTGGTATGCAAGGGTGCCTAGGCACTCCTGTGCCTACAGACTCAATGCTGCGCATCTGCAGTTTGAGATCTAAGACACTGCTGCCTCTGACAGCTAGTCTTGGGAGATTTGGTGATGTCACTGTGCTGCTCACTGTCCTCCTTGCTAGACGATCTGACATGATAGCATAGCCCTGCCCCCACCCCTACCAAGAGTCAGTAATGAAAGATCTGCAGGGAGACCATAGGCATCTACCCAACTTTTTTGTTCACTTCATCTTTAACAACCAGTGATGTACACAGTACATCATAGGCAGCGGGCCCGTTTAAGCTGCCGGGACTGTGTTTACAATTGTAAAGCCGGCTGTCGGCTTTACAATAGAATAGATTCTGGCAGCACCCTTGCTGGAAAAGCGCCCGCTGCCCACGCTGTGTTTCCTGGGCTCTGCTGCCCCTCCTCCTGCGGGCCTGGCATCTCTGATGTCGGCGGTAAGCTGTGGAGGAGAGCGGGAGCTTCCGTTACAGATCTCCTCCCCCGCTCTTTGGGATCGGGAGCATCACGTCGTGAATTGCATCACTTCCGGTCCCCGAGCAGTCATTACTCAGCTTCTGATGCGGAGCAATAAGCTATTGAAGTGTGATGTGCACTACAAATGGCTTATTTAGAGTGGAAAGGTGACACTAGGGGTCTTTTGGACCGTCACCTTAAAGATGACCTGCCACCACCAATATGCCATCACATGGGGAAATTTTTTTTTAAAATTCCACTTGCCCCTGCGAGCACACATTCACACGTTCGGGTGCGACTATGTGCGAAAACGTAGATCACGCTACACATGTTGGGTATCGCCGTGCACACCACAGTGAGCAATAATCCTAGGGCCAATGATTATTGGCATCTCTAAACTGATGACCTGTAGGGGCTTTAAAGAGTCTATGGGCTTTTTTGGGTACTGAATCTTGTTGGTTTCACAGCCGCACACAATTTTTAACCTGGGCATGTTGGGCATCTATTTACTCATACCATGTTTTGGGGGGATGGAGGTCATTTTCAGGCCTAACATGTGGATTAGATCACGTGTGCAAAAAAAAAGGAGAAAAAAAAGGGAGGCCATCAGCAGCGATAGGGGCCTTATGGGGTTAAGTACATCTATAGCTAAAATGTTTCAAGTAGTATATTAGGGAGGTGTTACAACCCTCACCCTTTCCCCAGAATCTGCCTTTATCATGCATTGGGTGAGACCACTCTGGTCCACTCTTTTGGATTCTAAGAGCATGGAAAATAGTAAGTGTAACAAAACATACAGTGCAACATCGCACTGCTGAAGTGTTAGGTCCTGCTCCCGTAAAAAAATAGGGTATAGTTTTAAGTTCTCCAAATTGTAGTGATGGAAAGGAAGTAGTTGCTCTATGCTGTGCAGAATGTAATAGGAGCACATAGCTGGTAGAGAATTGAGGAGCAATTCTACATGGGCTCAATCACAGCTGTACCCTGTGCACCCCCTGCACTTCCATGTGTTACTGACCTTATACAGAGCACTAACTCTATCCTGGGCCTTCACATAGGATTCGTAGTCTGCGAATACTTTAAACCTAAAGAAATGCAGAAAGAATCATGGAAACAGTTTGTTATTTCAGCAGCAGAAAATGAGAGATCTATTGTGCACACAACAGGAAATTCCCGAAATAACAAATGTCATCATAGGGTATAAACTCAGAGATGAGGAAAACTTATGGCTTAACTCTTTGCATTTTGCTAAAGCCTAGACCACACTTGTTGCTCACCTGTCATGGTTGAAGAGCACGTTGACCAAGTCTTTGAAGAGCTCTGGCTTTGTGGAAGAGAAAAAGCCATTCTGTATCTGGTCAATAACTTTCTTCAGCTCTGGAAGTTTTTCATAGTATTCTCGTGCATTGTACCTGGAGAGGTAACAAATACAAAATGAAACGAGATGCACTTGAATATAGCAGATATAACTTCCTACTTGCTTGGAACCTTTGCTCTAATGCTCAGGCAGGAGAAATCTAAACTCCGAAGAGGACAGTAATTTTCAAACCAATGCCTCCTAAAGTTGGGGCTACAGCGTACGACCTTTCCCATTTAACTACAGATAATTAATACTACTGTAGCTTGTGAAAAGTTTAGCCACCTCAGTGTGCACACAACTGTCTTTGTACATCTTTAGAGAGGCCACCGACGCTTGATAATGGTGCCATGCTGTACAGAATGCCAACCAAAGCCCGTGGCAATGTACACCTCTGCACTGTGATCTAGTTCCACAAAGTGCTGTCACTGGAAAGCCAAGAATGAAAGCTAAGTGGCAAAGTAAAGAAGTTAATCTCTCTAAATACTAGAACATGCTCTTTACTGCCCAAGGTAAAGACCTATGATCGGTGGTACAGATCACACTTGGGAAACATTGAGATACAAAGTCACCAGCACTCCAAATCATAGTGTATTACATTTCTTGTGAAAACCGTTCACATACTGCAAGTCAAAAAGAATAGAGACGCTTCCGTTCACATACTGCAAGTCAAAAAGAATAGAGACGCTTCAGTGCCTCGCGGGGTCCCTTTCTCAAGGAGACCTAGTGACTGGTCACTTCGTATCTTCCCCTCTGGTTCAGCCACAGCACCATCCATAGCAATTACTTCAACCACCCAACAACCTAAAAAAAAAAGTCAAGCACTGTTGGAGAACAGCTTCAGGTTTGGACTATACAGTGAAAACAAAGTACCCCTTTTTGTCCATCTCAGCCACGTCATCGACTCGCATGCCGAAGATGAACAGGTTCTCTTCTCCGGCCTCCTCTGCCATCTCTACATTGGCACCATCCATGGTACCAATAGTTAGTGCTCCATTCAACATGAACTTCATGTTCCCGGTGCCAGAGGCTTCAGTGCCCGCTGTGGAGATCTGTTCGGACAAGTCTGTGGCTGGAATCACTGTCAGTGCAATACAAGAGTTAAAAGATCTTCAACAAACAAGTGTATGCAATAATAATAATAAATCTGGTTCATCAATGAACCTTCACTCTCAGAATGGCCATCATGTGTATGTCAAGATATGCATTTTTAAAGCACCAATTACAGCTGTCTATTTTGGCTAAAGTGAAGTAAAGATAACATTTGTCAGGTGTTCATTTTTGTCTGCGACTCCATTGGGGAGATTTTCCCTCAATTACTGTTCCTGTGTCACCTGTGCAAGTAGCGGAGGAGGGGGCTGTGACCGAGCCAAGCATGCACATACAGCTACACAACGACATTTTAACCCTTCACTTCACTAAAAATGTGCATCTGTCCCCATTGCACAGACTTCTTGCATTTTCTGTCCTCGCTGGAATCTTTCCAATACCTCTCCAAAACGAATATGTTTTTTTCTTGTAGCCATCCTATGTAAAACCTGAGAGGATCCAATACTTCCCCCAATTCCATCTTAACCCAAGTAAAATATTTTGCCTGGAGCTTGACATTAAAAACAGGTTATCAAGCAATAATGCTGTGCTGGCAACCTGTGTGTATAGACCACACTGGACAACTACAGACTACTAGTAGTATCAACTATTAGTCAGGTTCACAGAAGCTCTCAGCAGGCAAGGCTGTGACTCCCTCCCACCCCCCATGTGTATTGGATGGGTTCCATCCAAGTTCTGCATGGAATGCACCTTTAAAAAAACAATCTATAAAAATCAATGTTCACTTGCCAGGTAAGAACTATTCTAGTGGACTAGTTTTTGAAGTTGTGCCATCATCCTTATTCTTGCTTAGCACTGTTGGGTGAACACTTGACCCAGAACAGGCATGTGAAGAACTGGACGTCTGACAGCAAGACTGCTTTTTTTCAGATCTGACTCCCCAAGTAGAACAGTATGGATATACATGATGCCACTGAAGCCTAAATCAAAAACTAGTTGGCAATGGCCGCTCAAATAATTTTACATGACGGGTGTGCCTAAATTCATACAAAACACCAACCACATTCACTAATATGAGGGATATAATTAAGGCAGCACAGGAGTTACGGCTTATGCCTTGCAGCATTGGGGCTGCGAATCTTGGCCAAGACACTATCTGCACAGAGTTCGCATGTTAATCCTGTGCTTCTTGCGGGTACTCAGTTCTCTCCACATTCCAAAGACATGTTGGTATTAATTGGCTGTGGTCTAAATTAGCCCCTATGTGGAAATACCAACTGCAGCCCAGCGGCGTATTTACACTTTGTGCTGCCCCAGGCAAGACAGCCCCCTGCCGCTCCACGGAGCAGCCGCCCCGACGGAGGGTGCCGCCCTAGGCAAACGCCTAGTTTGCCTCGCGGTAAATACGCCCCTGCTGCTGCAGCCTCCTATGCAGACCCCGGTAACACTGAGTGACTAATGCAGCTCTGGTACGCATTTCAAACATTAAGCCACCAAAAAAAAAAAAAGGTCAAATGAGGTTCAAAGGTTTGGAGTGCACCAAAGATCACAATGCAATCATGGGGATGGGGTGGAAGGTTATAGTTTTAGGGTCTTATGAGAACTAAAACCAAATTCAAACAAAGTGGTGTAAAGGAAAGAGTTTGCTATGCAGGGATGATTTTGTGTGACGATTCTACAAAGGTTTTCAGCGGCTCTAGAACAAACCTTTCTCTGCCAGAGAGACTCTGTAATTCTCCAAGTAAATGACTTTCAGCTTGTTCCCCACTACGGGGTCATTGTTCACAATCTCCCCCACAGCCGTGATGAGTTTTATGATGATCTTTGCCATGTGATACCCCGGAGCAGCCTGATATGAAAGAAAAGGGAATGCTGGATTAAAAATACAGATTAGGCATGTGACCAACATTTCCTTTACAGCAATGGGACAAGCATCTCATTCATGGACAGCCAAGACTACAGTAAACAGCTATGACTACAGTAAACGCAATTCATTTAATTTTAACAGGGATCTCTAGCTGATCAATTCGGGCTTGCATCGTGCCATGCCAGGCAAATGTAGCATATGACACAGCAACAGGTGAGCACTTTAATTCCAGGGGACCAAGTCTTACGCTGGCCATACTTTTAAAGATTTCTCTCATTCAACCCGATTGCTTCATCCACTCTAAACAGCACAGATGAAGGAATCTCCCTTTCTGTCTACTAAAGTCTGACAGCTTGCACAGGGGGAGTGGGGGGTGTCCGAATACCCCAAATAGTGGATGTAGCCAATTGGCTTCCACCCAGCACCTTCAATTATTTATCTGAAGTTTGTGGAGATGGGTGGTGTTTGCTTGACTTTTGGCCGATTCCTGTGAAACAAGCAAAATCCAACCAAGCCGAGCCAGCTTGGTAAAGGAATACGTACAAATGGTTCTTATTCAAAGAGGCTTTGATTGTATAAAAAGATAGATTTTTTTATTTTATTTATTATATACACAGACAAATACAACACACACAAGGTTACCTTTCCACCAATTATAACAGTCCTTGGAACAAATTCCTTTATGGGGTTCTCTTTAATACCTGTGAAATAAAAAAAAAAAAAAAAAACAATGGAAGAAGTTTAATTACCCATGTAATGAATAATTTAGATTAAATACAAGATGCCGGGTATAAACCTGCTGAGCTGTGGCATGGAGGGGCCTTAACGTGCTAATTTTGAATTCATCTATATGGGCCAGACAGAGAACCTGTAACAAACTGCGTTTTAAAACAAATTTTGTTTGCTAAAATTGCTCTGGGGTTACGTGTCAATGTTTTATAAAAGGAATTTCTGGGGCCTAAATCCAAGAACATAAACGTAATATATTGCAGCTTACCAGTCTTTAGATGTGACTGCATTAGTACTTCCTGTCCTAGGGAGATTGGAGACAACTCTAGCAATGGAGACAACTCTAGCAATGGAGACCAAGCCACCCAAGACAAAAACTGTCAGGAACATGTGGGATACTCACGGTTGTACATAGTGATGATATGGAGGCAGTTGAGTACCTGCCTCTTGTACTCATGAATCCTCTTCACTTGCACATCAAACATGGAAGCTGGGTTTAACTTCATCTTGTATTCCTTCTCCAGGTATTGAATGAACTTCAATTTGTTTTCCTGGAACCAAAACAATAGTTGCATATAAGCCACCACCTCTGGGTTGGGCTCAATCATTGTTGGGTATTTCAGCTTTAGCAATTGCAGTAACTTCAGATTAGGAAGTAAATTTTGTTTGTTCGCTAGAGGTTTAGCAAATGTCTTACATGGACACAGCTCTTTGTACTGGCCTTTCAAATAAATCCACACAACTTACCTCTTTCACCTTCGACACGTCTCGGATGAACACATTGTCATCAACAAACTTCTTTAACTGGGTCAGCAGGCTCAAATCCTTGACATACCCCTCCCCTATTTTCTGAAATACAAGATGTCAGCCAGCTTTATTTAAAGCCCAACTAAAAGTCTGATTGGACAAAGGATAGGGTCAATTCAAGACTGCAAACCTACCTCCGCTATGAGCTCTGCAAGACCCGGATTACACAGCAGCAACCAGCGGCGAGGTGTGATTCCGTTGGTCTTGTTCTGGAACTTGTCTGGCTCCATTTCACTGAAATCTTTGAATCTGGAAAAACCCCATAAAATGAATATAAAAACCATATCAATGTATCCATTTCTATAGTCAGTCTAAAGACAGCCACCTAGTGGGCATAACAAGTATGGCAACCATCGTAAAAGCTATTTTACCTTACATTAGCTTCTGGTCAGTTTTGACAATTTTCTTTTTTGAGGGTATATGTCAGGGGTAGGCAACCTCCACACTCCAGCTGTTGTGGAACTAAAAGTCCCATGAGGCATTGCAAGACCGGCAACAGTCATACCTCATAGGATTTGTGGTTTCATCACAGCTGGAGTGCCAAGGTAGTCTACCCCTGGTATACCTTTTTTTAAAACTGAAAAATATATATTTGTTACCATTTATGCAAATCTTAAAACATTTAGTACAGGGTGCACCAGTGACGCAGGATTCCCAAAACCTCATGGGCAACTGAAGCAGTTTGCTTTAAGACGGTCTCCAAGTCTGTACGGAGCCATCTTTACACAGCAAGCAGGGAAGTCACTCTGCAATTACAGCTTGAGCCAACAAGCTTCATAAAGCAAGGCAATTTTTAAGCAATGCAGTTCAGGATAAAGTGGTAAATATGTTTAAGAAATTCCAAATACAAAATTACATACTGTAAACCTATTTAGGTCTTGAACTATCCCCTTGGTCCTACTTTCTAAAAAATAGCCCAATACAGCTGCAAAAATGAAGGAAAGAACACACCCTTATAAAGATGCAGATAGCAAAGCCTTCTGAACTTACACTTGCGTTTTAACAATGTCTGAGTGGATTTTGGCCACTCCATTGACAGCATGCGAGCCGACAATGCACAGGTGAGCCATGTTAATCCTTTTCACGCCATCCTCTTCGATCAGCGACATGCGTCTGAGGCGGTCCAAGTCTTCAGGGTAGACGGAGGTGATCCTCTGAAATACAAAAGTGTATTAGATTTAATGATTTAATAGTGTTAGGTTTTAAATATCATGTTTGTTTATGGTCAAGCAGATGGGCAAGATGGAATTGCTATGGACAGTACTAGTTTGGGTTACCACAATTATTGGCCTCCACTTCCAAACTACTGCCAAGCAACACAAGGTGACTAGCTGTCACTTATTTGATGCCAATACACTAAAAGGTACAGACACAGAACATGTATAGGGCAATGAGTGTTTCCTTTGTTGGATACACGTTCCATTTCCAATTCAAGAACTGAAACCAGAGACAACCAGAAGGAAGCCAACAACATCTGTCACCATGCTTCCAATAGGTGAGATTTAAAGCTGAACTCCAGGATAACCAAAAACTGTTGAAATTCAAGAGACATGTGTATTCTTCCTTGAACTTTGTATTTTTTTCCCCAGATATGTGCAATATACCAGTGTGAAACTTGGAGTTTCCTGTAATAAAGACCGGTCACTGCTGCTCTCTCCTTGTACAGGGTGACAGGTCTGGACTCCATCCCCTCCTGTAATAAAGACCAATGACTGCTGCTCTCTCCTTGTGCAGGGCAACTGGTCTTTTCTCCACCCCCTACTGTAGTTTTCTGCAGGCAGCCTGTAGTGGGTGGAGCATACTTGGCCCCTCCCACAGCTCTGCTCAGGCTATGTACAGTATAGCGATGCGATCACTACTTAGGGTAATAGGTGGTTAGCCAAGTTGTTTCACACACCAAGTAGATTTATATCCTTTTTAAACCCATTCTTCAATGGTCACAAAGAGTATTTGTGCCTGGAGTTCTGCTTTAAATGAAAAGGAAAGTGATGATTCTGTGAGGACGACTATGAGGATGAGAGGAATTTCTTACATCCAGATGCCTCTGGTTTATTTCATAGATTATCTGCAGGTGCCTAGGAAGCAACTTCTCCACCAGGTCCACTGGCCAGCGCTCCAGAGCCTCAGGTAACACGGTGTGGTTAGTGTAGGCAAAAGTCTTCTTGGTGATTTCCCAGGCCTAAGAGGGCACATCAAAAAAAAGGACAATGAGACAAATAAAAAGGGCCTAGCATTAGGAGTTACAAAATGTCAAAGTGACCACTTAACAGCACCACAATATCCCACACTCCAAAAATTGCAGCAGAAATGAAATAGTTGCTGTGGCTGGAGAAACTAAATTCTGAATCCCATCTGTCACACAAGGAGAGAGAAGGAGTTTATCACTAGGGACACCTAAAGCAATGAAAACCTAATAGAGGTTCTGACCCTTCCCCACAACTTTACAAGTAATTAGCTTAAGGTTTAAAACCTCAGTCAGGTTTTTTGTAATTTTTGTACCCATTTCCCCTGTTCAAGGGGCAGGAGGTGATGAAATTTTCCCCAACACAGACAAACAACCTAATAGGTTTAATCACGGCACAAAGTTCTACAACGAAGTCTAAAGTTTCAGCTGGATTCCAGATGGTGTAAATTGAATGTGACCGGCCTTTTATACACAAGTTGTCTACATTCAGGAGCTTTCAACCCAAACAGACATTCTGCTGCATCTGATGTTGCCCACCGTAGCCTAGTGCAAGGAAGTGCCAAAGACCGGTGAGCCCAAATCACTGCTACTCTATATGCAGTTGGCTCTCTGCTTTTCCCAGAAATCACCACAGAGCTTCCCATGCACCATTTTATTAGGTGTCCTGCAGTCTTTACATTACCAGTATCCTGGCTGCACATGTATGGACAGGGTGGGGGCCTGGGAACACAGTTTTTTATAATACAACCAAGGACCACACTATTGCATTGTAATAACCTGTATAATACAGCAACACATGCAAGAGTGGCATCTATTTTATACACAAAGCCAGCTTCATAAAGACCTGGCTTGATGGGTTCAGTATGGAGAAGCGTGTGTCCTGCACAGAGCCCTGACCTCAACCCTACTGAACACCAAGTGTGAACCAGGTCTTCTCATCCATCAGTACCCAACCTCCAAATGCTTCTTTGGCTGAATAGGCAGAAATTCCCATAAACACTCAATTTTGTGGAAAGCCTTCTCAGAAAAGCAGAGGCTGTTTAAGCTGCAAAGAATGGGCAAACTCAATATTACGGTCCATTGGTTTGAAATGGGATGTCCAACAAGCTTATAGATAGTGGTCAAAAGCACACAAATGGTGTAAGCCAAAACCATTTACAACCCCTTACACTACCTCACAGACCTAAATGGGTGTACTGTGCCACTGGACTCACAAGCCCCTCACCATAGTGCCAATAAAGCCATATCTTGCACTAATGAGGACTAAGAAGCCTGAAACAGCTTTATGCACCTTGGCAATGGTGTAAAATTATGGTGCTATACATTCTCTCTCCCCCCCCCCCCCCATTTTCTGTGTTCCACAAACTCTTCATACATTAGTTTGCAGTTTACAACCTGCAATTTGCCATTACTGTACATCAATGTAGAGGTGGGCAACTTCCCTTCTCTCTAATCTTTGTAAAAGGTGGGTGACTTCACCTTTTCCCATGGAAGTTTCTCTATATCCAGGAATATTCTCATCAGCTCTGGGATTCCCAATGCCGGGTGAGTGTCATTAAGCTGAATGGCCACCTGAAAGATAGAAGTACAGCAGATCAATCCCTACGGCAAACAATTCCATACAGGCAGTGCTAGAAGCATTTAATGAGAGCTCATTGTACCTTCTCTGGGAAAGCATCAAACCCAGTCCGGATTGTGTCCCGGCATCCAAATCTGGAGGCTTTGAAACGGCGTATGATGTCTTGCAAGGACGCAGCTACCACAAAGTACTCCTGTTTCAGACGCAGCTCCTTCCCTTCAAAAAACTGCAGAAAAAAACCCCCCAAAGTATTGAAACTCAAGGATATAAGACTTACATTAATGTTCCCCATCTTTACATTTCACATCATGCTAAAAAACTGAGTATATGACGGAAGCAGCCAAATGCTCAGTTTAAATACACAAATTTAAACTGTTTTACCTGCAAAGGGATATTAATTCTGTTTACACAGCCTTGATACCCACTCATAGTAGCACAGACTGGACAAGGACACACCCCCAGGTTGTTGACTGGACAATCAACGAGCAGCAGCAAACTGATAAGGCCATCCTTGTGTTCATCTGTTAGCACCTGTGCAATGGTGTCAAACCCATTGGGTGGACATTGGCAACCCTCCCTAACCCAATTCACAACACTGCTCTAAAGCATACTATAAGAGGCAAAATAAAGCAAGACCAATCAGATACTCACACTAACTGCATTTAAAAATGTCTTTAGCTTTTTTTGGGTAAGTAAAAAAAAAAAGGTAGCTTTTTGTAAAATAGTTTTCTTTAGGTCTACCAGGAGTTCAGCTTCAACATCATATAATGCACTCAGGCTTCATAATTGCAGTTTTTTTCTGTTAAGTGTTTGAAGCATTTCCCTATTTTACATCATATTGCAGAATACTACATATCAATTTCACAGTTTTAGGAAGGAAATGTACAAATATATTAGATCTGTAGCAGCTTAGAAATAGACCGAGCATGTAATAGGAGGCCGCTTACATTGTCATTTGGATAGAGCACTCGAGAGATGTTCTCTGCCAGGTTACGGTCCAATACAGCCTCAATGTAATCACCAACATTAACTGGAAGGCAAAAGCAAAAAAAAAAAAAAAATGTTGAGCTGTCTGTTATGTGACGCAGAGTGACGCACACACACACACACACTTTTTAGGAAGACCCAATACCAATATCAAGATGACAACAGAAATCCTACAAGAAACAAATGGACCACCTCTGCACACGACTGTAGAACTCCATTCTTTACTTTCCATAAGTGAATGGTTGTGTTATACTGCAGCAAAGGCTAATAGTATTGTCATTAATATGTCACAGCACCATCTGGATTATTCAGACCTGATCTTTATTGTAACTTTCATCAAAGGACAGATCAGGTTTAGAGGAAGCCATTTTAATGTGTAATAACTGGTCAACTGGTCTTGCAAAATGTTATACAGAGGAACATAACTTTGTAAATCTCATTGTTAGATACACTTCCGTTTTCTGCAAATGGAGGGCTTTGCAATCTAAAAACTGCAAGCAAACCCCTTTTAGAGTTTGACAAGTGGTTATATTGAACCTAAATAATCTAGTAAGATGGGTGATATTAACCTCTTGCCGTCGGCCCATAGTAAAAAAAACAGACGGACGGCACTGCTGCATTTGCGGGTTGCTGTCGCCAGACGGCATTTTTTTTTCTGTGCGCGCGCCCCCTAGCGGGCACGCACGGGCAGAAAAGACCTGACCATTGCACACACCCGTTACCGGGTGTTTCACATATAGGCGGTCAGCGGCTCCATAGCCAGCTGATCGTCTATATGTGCTCGTTCGCGTCCGCCCATCCCGGTTTTTTTTCTCTGACCCCTCACCTTGAATCCCGGGATCCGCTGCCCCATCTTGAATCCCGGGACCGGCTCGGAGGGCGTCAGGAGGACGGGAGATCAGCTCCTTGCTGATCTCCGTCCGGGCTGTGAATGCAGAAGTGATGTGTATTACATCACTTCCACATTCACCTGTCAGTCATCTGGCTGCTATAGCCAGAGAAAAGAAGCTGATGAAGCAGATCTCTGCTTCATCAGCTTCTTTTGGGGTCCACAGGTGACATTAGGGGTCCTAGAGACCCCTAATGTCTCCATAAAGAGGACCTGTCAGTGTGCCTTTGCTATTATATAGGGGGATTATTATCCCCCTATATAAAACAATAAGTGCAAAAAAATTTATATAAATAAAAAAAATTTAAGTAACATATAAAAAAGTAAAATAAAATAAGTCAAAAAAGGGGAAAAAAAACCCCCAAAATGTTTAACTCCCCCACGTTTACGCGCCTATAAACGTAAATACGCGTCCGGTGCCCCAGCGCGCAAAAATTACAATTGCGCTACACATGTTACATATCGCCGCGAACGTCGCAGTGAGAGCAATCATTTTAGGGCCATCAATCACTGATAACACTAAACTGATGAGCGGTAAAAGCTTTTAAAGCGTCGCCTATGGCCAATTTTGGGTATTATCGTTTTTTGAGGTTTTGCGCGCGCACGCAATTTTAAGGCTTGACATGTTTGGTGTCTTTTTACCCGACGTGACCCCGTCTTTTATATTTTACCAAAAAATTGGGTAATAATAAATGTTTTATCATTTAATATAGGGGAAACTGTTTTTTTTTTTTAAATTTCGGTAATTTTTCCTTAATATAGTAAAAAAATAAAACCCCCAGTGGTGAATAAATACCACCAAAAGAAAGCTCTATCTGTCCCCAAAAAAGGGTATAAAATTCATTTCAGTACAGCGCTGCATGACGGAATAAATGTCAGTCAAAGTACCGCGGATGTCAACTGGTTAAAGCAAACAAACTAAGAATTTTGCACACTTTGTTTTAATACATTTTGAATGAATATAGCCGAAAACTGCAAAAGGTCAGTTGGGCTTTTTGGAATATTGACAAGCCAGACATTTAACTCTATTGGAGCAATAGGCAGGCAGAGTAGTGAAAAGGAACAGCAGCATTATTACTTGACATGGACTCGAAAACTCTACAACAGCCTGGACGCTGACAGCCACTGGCTGCATCTGAGGCCCATTTTTCTTGTACTATGGTTAAAGGAAATTACCCTCCCACCCCCGCATTTAACTTAAATATAAATTTCAGCTTACCTGTGGGCCAATCTAAAATCTAGTGGAATAAAAAACAACCTGGTCCCTCAAAGAGAAGCTGGGCCTCAAAGAGCTTTAGAAGTTAGCATTGTCCCCAACTTCTAAAGAAGGGAGACTGCATTAGGTCTCAATTTTTAACAAAATATTAAGTACATGCGCATGCACACTGCAAAGAAAAAAAAAAATCCAAAGATTTTTCACAGCCTAATGTATGGAATCCTTTAGTCTCTGTACAATACACACAAAGCATTTAAGAGTCAGACTTACAGTCCTTGAGGTTGAAGTCATTAGGTGCCCGTGCTGACCAGAGTCTCATGGTGTTCACCGTGTTGTTCATGTATCCAGGAACCGGAGTATCATACGGCATGGCTAGAACTACCTGTCACATGGGAATACCAGGGAATCATTTAGGAGGAATTAATAAGCACATTTCGTGATAAAGATAGGATCTACATTATGTAAAAACTGCACACGACTCAAGTATCTAGAAGCATATCCTAAATAAAGCACTTTGTTTTAAGCAGAATGAAGGATTGACTGCAATGTGCGTTTTCTTATGCAGTGCTGCAAGAAAGATGGCATCTTCAGATTGGCATAATCCTTCCCCAGCAGCAAAGATCGCAAGAGCAAGGCAAGAGGTAGAAAGATTGTCAAGGCTGCATATCTCCAGCAGCTTTGGAAAACATTTACAACTCACCATTGGGCATCACTGTGACAACCAATCTGCTCTTGCACACCTGGAGTCACCACTAGAATCTTCAGCATCTGACACTATCTCAAGGCCGCATCTACCTGCTGGCAGTTGTGGCTCCCCATAACCGGCCAGTATACAACTAGGGCTTCCTTGAGGGACATTCTAGTAAAAAAGCTGCTGGGAAGGGGCACGGGGAGGTTGAGGCATTGAAAGATGAAGTAGCACACAGGCATCTGACACTTGGAAAATGTTGGATGCAGAAGATTCTAACAGCACCCCTCTAAAGTCAGAGCAAGAAGTGGGATATTGGATGCAATACTGGCGATAATGGTATCGTACATGTATTTTCTAAAGCTGTAATTTATAAACTTAATATATTATGACAGGGTCTCTTTACGCTGGCTCTATGTTTGCATCTCTAACAGGCAATGGTGGCTCCAAAGTCATCTGCCACTCACCTGGGTATCCACCCACCGTACACCGGTCCTCGTGTGCTCCACTCTTCCATAGAAGTGAACGGGCAGCATATATTCTGGGCGGGCCTTTTCCCAAGGGTTTCCATGTCTCAACCAATCATCTGCTTCCTCAACCTGAAGGATAAAATAAGTCAGGGAAAGGTCAGTGAAAGAGGTTACCTACTGAGCCCACCAAAAATAGATAGTAGGCAAACTATTGGAGATACCCAAAGTTACCATTGTACAATGGCGCAAAACCGACACAAAAAGGTTTTAAATCTATACAACTAAAACCTCAAATGCCAGTACAGTTCCCCAGGATGGCACACTAGCCGCACAACACTTTGCATTATACCAATCTTTTATTGTAAAACAATGTGGACTTAGTTATGTAATATTTGGCTAGGCCTGTCCACTAGCTTAAGAGTTTAGGGAGAGATGAAGTGAAGTGGTTGATACAGACCCCCCCAATAAATAATGGAAGTCCTAAAGCCAAATGGCTTCTTCACAGCAGTTTCCACAAAATAGGGGCCCCTCTGAGAATATAGGTCACTTGAATTGAGAAGTCTATAAACATTTCCACCAAAGGCATCCAACAATGGTTCTTAGATTTTGGTAAAGAACCCCCCCCCCCCCTGGCTGCAAACACATTTTGGGGGCTCAGCAACCCCGTTCAAGTTTACAACTTATCTAGATATCAGTTCTTCCAAGCAAAGCTCCTGGAAAAATATAAATCCAAGCCAGGGGGAATAACCTTCAAAGTGCCTGTGTCAGCAGCAGAACAGCACACTAGGTTTAGAATGACTGCAGTATATAAAGCAGCAACCATTTCTTTGGGCACTCCAAGGTTTAGACAGACACACGAGGCCCAAGGTGCATGCCATGCTTCAGACACTAGGTCTATTGTGCAGAACAGAATGTTATTATAACCCAGGGCAAGCAGTTCTCACATGACTGGATTCTAAAGCCAGTTTGCTGGTTTCTACAGAACCTTCCTTTGCAACATGCCATAAACAAAGGACATCAGAAATAAGTTGATAGAGCCAAACAAAACTAGTTCAACTGGACTTCTGCTCATTTTTTGCATCATCTTCACATGCTGTGTAACTTTATTTGCCCACAACAATATATTCACCCATTACACAACATCATATGTGAACAGCAGTGGGGAGGACATAACACAGGAAGTGTGCACATGGATGAGATCAGGAAACCAAAACTTGGGTAATTTTAGCATTTCAGATACACAACGCGGGCTTTCAACATTCCTTCTTTGTCAAACACATCCGGTAATCTAAAGATTAAAAAAAGAACTCTGAAGGGTGATGCTCTAAGGGAAGTCAGTGGGTCATACAATATGCTGGACCCACCAAAAACTGAAACCTCAATGTTGGGGGAAGTGGACAAAGAGCAGAAGCTCATGTAAGCACTCTACCTGCCATCCATCTTTTATCTTCTGGTTGAAGATTCCATACTCGTATCTGATGCCGTACCCGTAGGCTGCCAGTCCTAGAGTAGCCATGGAGTCCAGGAAACATGCTGTGTAATAAGAAGGAAGAAACTTCAGATTAGATAAAAAGATCTCAGAAATATGATCTGTAGACTGCTCTGAAACTATATATTAGTTTATTAAGAAAGTAGTGCCAAAATATAAAAAGGATGTACTAGGTGCAGTCACCAACATAACAAGGTACAGGCACATTTTTCAGGCAGTGGCAAGTAATTTTGGACACAGTTTTGGCCACCAAAGCCCCAAATTGAACTAAACAAGTCAACCTTATAGCCGACCTCCGGCCTTCTTCAGTCTTGCACAGTTGTACCAGATCCTCTTCTGGACTGAAAATACTAATTTCACTGCACACCAAGCTTCCCACAATGTGCATTAAAAGCTGCAGCAAGTCAGACAGAGCCCGTCTCATTTCCTGGCTGGAGGACATCTAGCTCTTTCCACCCCATCCTGACAATCCCTGGTCCATCTTTTTGTTAATTAGATGTCAGTTCTTTCAATCATGGAGACTCCGTACAACATCTGTCGTGACCTTGGGTGTCCTGCATGCAAATACAGTCTGCCCAGGAAGCCCGGAGACCAACAACCACCCATCAAGATATTTGTACAACTCCTTCAAAGAACCAGCCCACAGCTAACATCAGGGCTGAGGGCTATTGAGAAAAGCACTTAGGCAGGGTGCTGTGATGTTATCAGGAAGCCACGTACACCACCCTGCTGGCCCCTCCCACCAGCCATGATCTGCCACAAAAATTGGTATGTACTGAAAATGGAAAGGTTTTTTTTTGTTTTTTATAAAAACTCATTAGCTTGTTGAGGGAAATGGAGGAACCAAGAAAGGCAAAATATAAGCAAATATGCATCAGCTTTAAAGTGTATCCAACACCAAAATTTCTTTAGCTTTATGTTGGAAGTACACAATTGTCCAAAGCGTCTTCTTATGCTGTAGAATTACTAGTGCCCTTCATTGAAAACATCTGAACTCCATTATTGGGAGGAGTCTACTTACTTTTGACCATAGAGTAGGTCTGACTGTCACGCGTTGATACATTTCTGACCATACTGAAAGGGGTGGGCAACCTCAGCACTACAGCTGTTGTGGAACTACAAGCCCCATGATGCATTGCAAGACTGACAGCCACAGGCCTGATGGAAATTGTAGACTCACAAGGTGCTGAAGTTGCTTACCCATGATGCACTATAGATCAGAGGACAGGCCCACTTGAAAATATACAAAGTAGTTGCTGGCTAAGTGAGTGGAACCTTTCTTTCTGTACGCCAGGCAGCAACTTAATGAAGCTCAGAAAACCTTTGAAGGAACATCTCTTCTGTGCACAGAGCCAAATGGCTAAGCTCCTCCACAAACAGAATACTTCAGTAATTAGTAAGCCTCTTCTCTCCCTTGTCCGGATCTCGGAATATTTACATGTCGGTTTTTAATCATCTTCCCAGAATTTGAGTCTGGAAAAATACTCCCCAGTACAACAAACAAGTCTACTGCCTGGAATGTAATCAGCATTTAGCAGAAAACATGACAATTCTTTACTCCGTAGGCTTTTACCAGTGCCTGAAATGTGAACTGTCTGAGAGTCCACATCACCTGGATTGCTTTTGACAGATTGAATGCAATTGGCAGTCATGGAGCCCAGACAAATCTTTATGGGAGGTTCACTTACTAAAGGAGTAGAGAATATTCACTCCATTGTAATTTTTTTCACTCTGAATGGCCAATCATGTGCGATGAAAGAAAAAAAAAAACAAAAAAAAAACACGGAAATGAATCTTCACTTGATTTGGAGAGTGTGGATTCTAAACTCCTTTAGTAAATCAGCCTCAGGGTGTCAATTCTGTACAAGAAATCAAAATGGCAGAAGGATTACTTACCAGCGAGACGTCCCAGGCCACCATTTCCAAGCCCGGCATCTTCTTCCATTTCCTCCAGCTCCTCGATGTCCAGTCCAAGCTACAGAATAAAAACAAAAATGAAGCAAAGTGCACAATTATGTACCTTAATCCCCACATGCAGGATGCTTCACTGTGCAAATATGAACCTAGGACGGTCAAGGATAACTGTTCATTGGTAAGCATGGTGGGTGGCCTCAATGACCCATAGGGACATGTAGGAGCTGGGGCGGGTCAAAGCTTCACCTTAGTTCCAGTGAAGAGAACTCTTAAGGCATAAGCATACCAAGATATTTTGGACAATTTCATGCTCCCAACTTTTTGGGAACAGTTTGGGAATGGCCCCTTCCCGTTCCAAAATGACTGCGCACCAGTGCACAAAGCAAGGTCCATAAAGACATGGATGAGCAAGTTTGGGGTGGAGGAACTTGACTGGCCTGCACAGAGTTCTGATCTTAACCTGATAGAACACCTTTGGGATGAATTAGAGCGGAGACTGCGAGCCCGGCCTTCTCGTCCAACATAGTACCTGACCTCACAAATGGTCCAACATTCCCATAGACACTTCTAAACCTTGTGGACGCCTTCCCAGAAGAGTTGAAGCTGTTATAGAGGCAAAGGGCGGAGCCAACTCAATATTGAACCCTACGGACTAAGACTGGGATGCCATTAAAGTTCATGTGCGTGCAAAGGCCGGCGTCCCAATACTTTTGGCCATATGGTGTATAAGCACATGCATGCCATTGCCAATGTGAAGGATTATTCTTGACAAATTTGTCCTGTTCCTGCCAACATTATTATCTGATAAATACTGCACAAGACTTTGCTAAGAATTTTTTTCCCTTTCCCTTTTAACATAGGAACATAAAAAAGGATGAAGACAGGTTCATCCAGAATACTACTACTATAACAAGAATAGTTGTAGTAGATGATATAAAAAGCACCTGTAGGGGTCAGCATGTCATTTATTCTGAATATTTGGTCTGGTTACATTTCCAGAAATCCAAGTGAAAAATTAAAATGCTTTTCCCCTCCAGCAAGTTTTGCCTTGTCTCCAGAGACTTAAGGACGGCTTGTTTACCTCAGTCTGCCCAGACATTGAGCCATGCCAGGCATTTCCTCAATTCTGCTTCAAAAATATTGAAGATTAGGAAGTTTATAGCAGATGAATACCAAATAGAGTCTCCTGGGGATAGATAATGCGCAAATGAAGGGACAAAGCACCTACATCAGTTTTGTTCCTCTGCCACAATGACAAAGCTGAAAAAAAATTAAATCGAGGTAACTCGACCTGCTGTATTTTTCTTGAAGACGTTTCACTGGTCATGCAACTAGCTTTCTCAGTTCAGATTTTATGAACTCAGCTTTCTGAAGTGAGAAAGCTAATCTGATGAGGGGATAGGGGTGTGGGTACTGGTGAAGTCCCTCTAAGCCTTACAGTTATACTTCGGAACCAATTAATTCATGTACCCAGCAAACAAACAGATTGCCTGGTAGGGACCCACTGCACTTCATTACTCTGCGCTGCTTTATTTAACATATTACATGTTGTGGTCTACTCGGATTCTTGCATCACAAGCTCATAGTGACATCTACATACTTTGTGTGCCAGGTAGAACTCTATTCATGCAGAAAGCCATCTTACATAAAAGGCGAGGCCTGGCAAGTCACAACCAGAACATCACATTGAATGAACAGAGCCCCAACACCTGCCATGTACTGAACTTTTATAGCTCAACATACATCCAAGGGCAATGGCAAGTCACACCTGCCAAGCTCTAGAAAAGATAAGGAGCCTATAAATAGTCAACACCACTCTACAATAACCCAGAATCAGTGGTGAGATCTCCCTCAATTCACAACCAACTGTCATAGCCAATGGCAATGGAGTGCACCATTCTAACATTTTTCTCCCTGTCAGATACCTTAAAAGTCTATTGCTGAGGGATAGACATAATTATGGCCCTATAGGGGGACAACATCCTGTGTGAAATCTTCACCAATGACATTCCACAGGTTCATCCCACCAGAGCCAATCCAACACCGATTACCGATTGGAGTTTGCTCTTAACATAGTAAGTAAGATTTTATAGAATGTTATCCCCTTGCTAAAGTGGCACCACCACAAAAGTGATTTTAGTTATATCTGGAGCCTGATGGGCCATGTCAGTCCACAGCTTCTTAGTTGCCTTGGATGCTCCAATATTAAGAACTCCTGATCATAACTGGCAATGGTTTATTGCACATTGCTTCTTGACTGTTTAGAAAAATCTGGGGGAGCCCACCACAAATCTGGGGGAGCCCACCACTAAGGGGTGTCTATGTATAGAAAAAGAGTATCCTTACCTGATAGATGGCTTCATCACATGCATTCTGCAGCCCCAGATTGATCATTGTGTTTTGCAGGGTGCGGCCCATGTAGAATTCCAGGGATAGGTAGTATGTTCTCTGGAAAAAAATAAAAGGATGAACACTATTAGAAAAGAAAACTGCAAGGCCAAGGATCAGTGTTTATTTGTAGACCAAAACAAGTTAACCCTTGCAGTGTGGGTGGTAGCCCGACTACAATGGTTACCCTTCTTAATTTCCGGCGTCTGTACACCATTAAAGAAGAATTTCTATGCGATTAAAGGCAACTTGTATCATGAGACATAGCAGGTCACCAAGTGCAACTTATCTTTAGAAAGAGCAGGCCATCTGTAGCCCATCACTTTTCTTTTTTTAATGCCCGTGTCCCGTTGAGTCTTCCCTTCACTTGAGACAACAGAAGGTGAGTGGAAACCTCTAAAAGTGACCATTCCAACTTGCAAAAAGGTATGGGCTCCATGTATGTTCAAAAAAAACAAGGTCTAATGTTGTAAGCTCTCTCCGGCAAGGTTTTTTGTGTGTCATACGCGGTCGTGCAGCTCCTGGTAAGAACAGACCGGGGTGTCTTGTATGTGTGCTGTCAGAAACAAAAGTGGAAAAAATTTTTTTGAAGCGCCACAACCTAGCACAATAACTCCTTATGTGTGAGTGCAATACTGTCTGTAGCCCCGTCTCATCTACAACCGAGTTATTGGGCTAGGGTTGTGGTGCTTAAAATATGTTTCCACTTTTGTTTCAGACATGGGCTCCATGTATACATCTCTTTATACCACTCCCCGCTTGAGCAGCTACCTCCTAAGGCAACATTACTTTCAAGACTACCCTGTCTGTTGAACCTCCAAGAGTACTGTTCCACATTATAATGGGTAGACACCTACTCCTAGGAGATCTCAGTGGGGCAGACTTACTTCACCTTTCCACTCGCCATCCATCACCTCTCTACCTTCCTCTAGTTAATTCTCTCAACTCTCATTCACTTTACCCAGTATTCCATTAGCTCCGATCTACATACAATGTTATTTACTGCTCTATAATTGAATATCCCTTCAACCGTTAGTCTAATTTTGTTGCACCCTATAGAAGTACCTAAATTACTAATTTCAGAGTTTGCTTCACTGGAAACTTTATTTCTTCCCCTTTTCTTTTATAAATACTGATTGCTAACAGGAAGGCACCCCTCTGCCTGGTCTGCCTTCTTGGCTGTGTTATACATCTTTGCAGGTTTTGGGGCCCTTGTTCTTACATATAGTTCTTTCACTGTAACACACGCTAAACAGAAGAAACCATGTCCCCATTGTTCGATTTCTCCTCTGCTCCTGACAACTGTAAAATTTTACCATCTTCCCTTAAACTGGTTACACACTGCTCGAATGTTGGCCAACTCCTGCTGGCTTGGCCCAAAGTTGACCTGCAGGTGACCTTGCTGGCTCCACCAGGCTTGGCATAATTGACTGATAAAGGAACAAGGTGGAAATGTGTGACCTAGCTGTAACCGAAAAGTGGGAGCTGGTGGGATGGGCTCCCAATCATGTGTCCACTGACAATCGCAGTCCAGAAGCTAATTCAGAACCCCTTAAAAGATCGAAGGGAGCCAGTACCAAGTACTACAATCTGACTGTAGAAGCTCCTTTAGATCTACCAACAACCTGTAGTGAAAGGGCCTGCATGGTTGGATACAGATTAATAGGAGGGACTACTATCCAAATAGGTTTGGGAAATCGAATGTTGTACAAAGATTGAATGGGGAGACTAACATGTATGTTGTATGTTGAGCATTCCATTACACAGAGGGTGCACGCATTATTCAATGACACATAGCAAGCGAACACCAGGATTTAAAGTGGAACTTTTATGAAAATGCAAGGTTTGCTATCTTACATGTCCCACCCAATACCCCTTCATGTCAAAACTTAAAAGTAAACTAAAACATTGGAAGTAGAAAGTTAAAACACAAATAAATAAAAATATTCCCTTTACACCTCAGCTTCACACACGACACTTGCTAGTGAGGGAGCGTAAAGTGACGTCTCTGGGCCTTCTTACGGGATCCTTGGGTGGAAAATGGAGGATCCCAGATCCTGCGAGAACGTGATCCTGCACAATGCTGGAGATTGTGAAATTTGGCCAGGATCCTGCATGGAGGTCCAAGGTCACTGGCACCTACAGAAAGCAGCCGAAGCCAGGTGTAAAACAAGTATTTATGGCATTATCTTCGGATATCCGCTCCGGCTATGGTATGTGCCTCAACGTCTTCATGTCCAATGCAGGAGAATGGAGCTAGTGAGGACATTGGCAGGCCTTAGACCACCAGAGCCCAGGGGAGAACAGTCTGTGGGGACCAATCTAGCAGTCATGAGGGACCAAGGATCATGTGAATTTCTTCTTTTATCCAGTCCCCTAGAGCAGTGCTCCCCAACCTTTTTATCGCCACAGACCGGTCAACGTTTGATAATTTTACCGCGGCCCGCTGAAGGGGGGGGGCGTTGATTGTTTATATAATCCCCACCCCCCACTCTCGGCGCTCATTTAAGAGGAAAAAAAAAAAAGTGTAAAAAGCACTTGCCCGGCGCCCGGAACTACATGCCCCGGGCGTCGGGCGATACGAATTCCGCGGCCCGGTACCATTTTATCCACGGACCGGTACACGGCACGGGGGTTGGGGACCACTGCCCTAGAGCAAAACAAGGAAGTCAACCCTTGCGGTGTGGGTGGTAGCCCGACTTCAATGGTTACCCTTCTTAATTTCTGCCGTTCTTTAAGTTAATCAAATGCGTCATCTAGGCTTATGAGACTTTTCTAACTACTACTAAATAAATGAAGAATGGTCAGCGTTCCAGCACTACTCCATTCTGTGGGACTATGTAAAACATTCCTCGCTTCCCTCCCCAACACAAAACTGATCCAGCAGGAACATGCAGCCTCAGCAATGTTTCTCTTTGAAGGCCAAAGTTGCGATTTCAAAATCTTCACCTACTGTGTCACCAAGGTAGCCTATTCATATCACGCAGCGGAATGCAGGGCAAGTTGGCACAGGATTCTTTGGGACGCAAGTTTAACCCCGTCAAGACCAGGATTGAAGATTACAGGAAGCCATGTATAAAAAAGAAAAAGTTGCATCTCGAAAGGCAAACAACCTGCACAGCATTTAAAGTGTACCTGTCCTCCTCTGGCTCCCTGTAAGGCAACACCATCTAGAATTGTAGGAACTTACCTTTAGGTGGCTTCTGAAACCCTTTGGGGTCTGTTCTACAAATAAATCAGCTCCTGGTGAGTGGCTTGGGCCATATGTCCATCATAGTTTTGGTCGTGAATGATCATGGATGGCTTCAATGAACAATATAAGGTTAATCATAATAGACATGAACCTTCAGGAGCTAGATTCTGTATCTGCAGAACAGGACACCCCATGTTACAGGAATCCTAGAGAGCTACGGAAGCCATCTACATGCATCTGCCGGGACCTCCATGTGCCTGCACTCACCTTCTGATTGAGACCCTGTCATCAACTTAAAATGCAGGTAAAAGCACAAGTATTTGATATGCTTTCTAAGATTACTGGAGTTTTTCCTTTCCATAAGTGACACCGGGAAGGGTCAATATCCTAGCACAGCCCCCCTCCAGCCTTGCACGTCCTAGCCCTCTTCTGGATTCTGCTTTGTGCTGGCCCAGCTCTTCCACCACTCCCCTCCCCACATAACCTTTATGTAGCTACTTGGGTAGGAGTGAAAGGAACTACTATAGAGCAGGGGTAGGCAAAGTTTGGCCTTCCAGCTGTGGTGAAACTGCTAAAATCACATCATGCTCTGCCTCTGGAAATCATGCCTGTGGCTGTTATGCAATGCCTCATGGGATCTGTAGTTCCAAAACAGCCAAAGAGTCAGAGTTCACCTTCTCCCTGATTTATAGAGTCACTCTAGTATGCTGGGGCTTTACAGGTAATTAACAGGCATAAAGACATAATGCACATTTAATCTTATGGGACAATATTATGTTAAAATTAATGGTCTGGTGAAAGGGTCTTGCTGAAATTGGAGTTCAGGTTCATAGACTGTTTTTATAACACTGTCACTGTATTTTGTGGTGCTAACACAAAAGTCCTGCTTGATGCAAGTAAGTTATATCAATGTTTTTTTATGAGTCTATGGGACATCTATGGACATGCCTCTTTTCACTATGACAAATACGCAACCACTGATGTACTTGGAGGCAGCAATATATAGATATTGCACACTCATTCCGCTTTCTCCCTTGTAGTGCTATGCAGTGGTTGTGCTTTGCAGCCCCTTTTCACAATGCAGGTCTATGGGTAGGTCAGATCATTGAAAACAATGCACTCTGTGCGGATATCCCAAAATTTAGGGAGTAAAAAAGGTAAACCCCTTATTTTTTTTTGGGGGGGGGGAGAATAGCAGGTAGGTCAACTCCGATCAGTGTCTCATGACAATTTCCTTCTCTAAGTCACACAAGATCAGATCTCCTATCCAAGCAAAGCCAACCGTCAGAGGGACAGAGGCAGAAAGGCCGTTTGCCCCTCTATATCCCGACACCTAGAACCGATGAGCAGAAAATTAGGCAAACCATCAGGTCTGGTTCAGGCTACAATGTTGTGCATTGCCATGACCAGAATGAGGCAGCCCATTCAAGAGGGAGTGGGCTGCAATGCATGCAAATTTAGAGCAAGCTACATGGGTGCGTGACCACACTGTGGCGCCTTTCATTTTAAATGGCCCCCCTACTCATGTTTTACCGTGCATCATCATGAACTTTCCACTTTGCTAGAAGTTCAGATCTAGGTATATGGACTTGCTAAAATATTCTATGGGTATAAATGCACAAATTGCCTTTTTCACTTTATAACAAATATAATGTTGATAGGAACATGTTATTGGGGGTTTATCCAGCAGTCAATCTGACATTCACCACTTTTTAGGCCTCATTCACACCTCAGTGCAGGGCCGTATCGGGCAGCTCCCGGGAAGGACAGGTGCTGCGTGTGATTAGTACACAGCCCCAGTCCTGCTCTATGGGACTACGCGGCCATACGCTCACCCCAAGTGCAGGTCTGTACGGGTGCGGACTAT